ATACATAACAAGAGACATTACACTAAATACACCAATTACGTTAAAACAATACATTTCATAAAAACATCTGAACAAACAAATACAAAATACTAAGCAAGACCAGAATATAAAACCAATTTACAAGGATGTCTACTCAACTATCATTTAAGGATATTATATCTTGATTCAAATGCAGTGTACAGATACATCCCCAACTGTCTTGCAAGAAAAACAGTTGGGCCGGCCAACAAAGCTACAAATTTGTGGGGATCAGGGCTCTGTGCATAAAAATCGGGATCGCACGCTTTAGAAGCTCGCCAACCCTGGAATGCAATCCCTAGCTGCGGGACAGCCTGCGGCTACTTTAACGCTTCCTCTGGTATTCAGTCTAGACAATAGCCTCCTGTGCAGGCCTCCATAGCATGCCGAAAACTGGGGGTTGGGGGTTCTCAGGGTCTTTGGGACCTTTTATGTGCTATTTTCTGATTGCATATAGACAACATAGCCGGCCTGGTTGAATTACCCCCGTTTTAGAACCTGGGCTAATCAGAAAACAGCCGAAGACCACCAAACCCCCAGTTCTATAAGCCTGGTACGAAGGCCTACATAGGAGGCTACTAATAAACGATACCTTCATGTGATGTGTGTGGGTATCGTTCCTATAGCTTATAGTTCCCCACAGTGACTCCGTTGTGTTGTGCATTGATTGTAATTATTGATAGCGGATCTGTTTTCCCGGGAGGGCGCGTGACACCACTCACTCAGAGGATCGCTGTTACATACTCTCCAAGTCGAGGCAGAGGTTTGGGTTTTGCCTTTTTTTTTAAAGCGTAAAATAGTGCAAACAAGAGTTCCGAGATCTCATACCTCCATGAAATATGGGCTTGACATGTAAATGTTAATTTCTTCTTTAATTATGCAAATTACCTCCACATTAACATAATAAATGCATCGTGATGTTAACTTTTGATTAACTTACACATGTACCAAGTATGAAATTCCCATCATTTACCACTAAGGAGTCATAGAATTTTCGCATTAATTATGCAAATTAGGTCATCATTTGCATAATTGGTATCTGGTGATGTTCCATCTGCCATAGATTACATACTAGTACATTACATGTATGAAAGTACTATAATGCAAAACACTGTAATTATAGAATTTCCTCATTAATTATGCAAATTAAGTCCTCATTTGCATAATTTGCAGTTAATTATGTACATCTCTCTCTCAGCTACCTACCTACCAAAAATGATGAAAATACATTGTTTCTATCTGGACTTATTGGCTTTTAAAGATTTCGCCCGAAAGTCCCCTGCAGTTCCAGAACAAGCTGCTAGGGGGACCAAACCCACACCACTTATTCCTGACAGGACAATCTATCTGCCACCAAAAAAATCAAGACCATAGCATATTCAGGACAAAAGATGCAAAAACCGGAAGTTCTGCTGCAGTACCAAGATCATCCACCAGGAAGCGTATATTTGACCTTGACCTTCGTCTTCCTAAGACCTACCAGCATACCAAATATCATCACAATCCATAAAGGCGTTATGAAGTTATGCTGGCCGCAAATGTGCGGAGACACAAACACACAGACAGACAGACAGACACACAGACAGACGCAACAAAAACAATACCTCCATTTTCATGGAGGTAATAACACAGGTTGTTTGTTTTCAAACACACAGCCATACACTGATACAGTGGCACATTTGCCCTGAAATAGGTCACCTATTCCCTGAGGGAGCGCGCTGGCTCGCTCCGCATAGCCACATCTGTTACCCTGGCTCGCAAGTACAAAGGAGATTCCTCTCAGCCATGCCCTGACTCAACCTTAAACCGGAAGTGCTGCTGCAGTACCAAGGCCATCCACCAGGAGGCCCATATTTGACCTTGCCTTTGTCCTCCTAAGACCTACCAGCATACCAAATATCATCACAATCCATAAAGGCGTTATGGAGTTATAAAGGTACAAATATGCGGAAACACAAACACACATACACACACACACACACACACGCACGCACACAGACGCGCCAAAAACAATACCTCCATTTTCATGGAGGTAAAAAGAAAGCCCGGTAAAAAGCCTAAAAATACGCCGATTTTTTTTATTATTTTTTATGCAACCACTCTTAATTGGGCCTGAACACAATTCGGCCATCATCACATGTACTTGCACTGTCCAGCAAAGCCAGGAAACTGCTAGGCGCTCTCTGCAAACTCAAAGGAAAACTGAGTAGAGAGGCCCTTGAACTAGCCTACATCACCATGATTCGATCAAAGATAGAGTATGCATCAGTACTGCTAGGAGACCTCGGCAGTACGGCTAGCGCTACTCTAGACAAAGTTAAATACCATGCTGGCTGCCTTACCGTGACAGGAGCCATGAAGGGGACCCCCAGTACGAGCCTCCTACGAGAGCTCGAATGGGACAACCTGTCTACCAGGAGACACTACCACTCCATGGTGTTAATGTACAAGATGACGCATGGTCTAGTCCCAGTGCACCTGCAGTCACTCATCCCCTCCACTAGAGGCGAACGGAGAACGACTCGTCTAGAGCTACGCAACACTACACATCTTCATGTTCCCCGCTGTAGAACGAAGGTGTACAGGTCCAGTTTTATTCCACATGCTTCTACCCTTTGGAACCACCTTCCACAGGCACTGAAGGAAGCCAGCAGCCTAAACGACTTCAAGAGAAAGTGCAAGGATTACCTGTTCACTCCGAGACATAACCAGCTGTACAGACGTCTAGGTACTCGGTACAACAACATCCTAACTGCAAGACTAAGAATGGACTGGAGCCCACTAAATGCCACCTTGCCCTTGATGAATATCAAAGACAAAATGTGCTCCTGTGGTACCTCTTCTGAGACTGTTTCCCATTATTTGCTACGCCGTCCTCTCTACAGCTGCCAGCGTCACATTTTAACCTCCACAGTAGAGCAACTCACACCACACCGTCTAACCGAATCTGTTCTACTACAGGGGCTACCAGGCTGTAACATGCACACAAACAAACAACTATTTGAGGCATTTGAAACATTTATTTCCACCAAAAAACGTTTAGATGGCCCTTCCCGTGGTACCACATAAGTTAACCTTTTACAATCTTACGTTATACATGTATATATTTCCTCACATATTGTATTATATTCAATTGCCCTTGACCTCTGACCTCCAAAACAATAATTGCTATTATTATCTTGATTGAGTACTTTATTATGCTTGGTTGTATCTTATATTGTTAACTGATTGATTTTAGCTTAATCTTTACTTGTTAGTTTTCTGTATTGGTATCTTAATCTTTGTATTGTTTGGCGCCCGAAATCAGCCATGCTGCCTGGGTGGCCAGTGTATTGTATCGTCACAATCGAATTAAAATAAAATAAAATCATAGGTAGTGTCATTTAAATATAAATAATGAAAATATAACTCTTCACCACACCATGATAACAAATGAAACATACATAAAAATAAACCAATAACTAGAGAAGTAACATTTGCAAAGCAAATGCATAATGTTTACCTTCGAGCATGGTCATCTCTGTTAAATCTTACCCAAACACATTCACATAAATGTACTACTAGTATATGGTGACAGCAGCAGAGCAGACCATGAAATTGCAACATTATGTAACCCAACACCAGTCACCATGGTGACTGACGTCAACAAATCATGTCATTGGTCAGGACATAGGTCACTGTTTGGAGAAGAAAAAGAGGAAGAAACTGTATGTTTTCCTTTGGTAAACATAACAAAATAACGAACAACCATCGCCTTGATTTTTACTGTCAGCAATAGTTTCATTTGTCTGGAACAGAAAGACGAAAAAAATATAACCTAAATCAATATGTTTACTCCTGTGTATATATTCTTTCAGTTTCAGTTTCATTATTCGCACTTTGAAATAAAATGTAACAATACAGATACAAGAAAATATAAATGAAATGTAACAGTGCAGGGAGGCCGGAAGCATAAAAATGCTTATGAGGAGGCCTCCCTTCATAACGTGATTAACAATTCAAATAAATCGGATAAATAAGAAATAACTTAGGTAACGGGTAAATGAAACAAAACAATAAGATACAATACTATCTACAATAATGAAAAGTAGTAATGAAAAGTAGTAAACAATTAAACTTAAACAAAAATTGAGAATGTGTGGGGTTATTTATGAAAGCTACTTTAGTATGATTTTTGAAAATGGTGACGGAGGGACTAATTTGTAAAGTTCTACTTAGGTTGTTCTTTGCCGTATCAAATTCGTGTACAGCTTCGTGTGATCGAGGAGGAACGTTATTAAAAAGTATACAGTTTTCTGTTAACACGTTGAAAATGGAGAATAAAGAAAACTTTATATTCCCAGATAGCTGCAACTTTTTCTCAACATGTCATCTTGGACCCTGGAGTAAGACTGATTAACTGCTCTCTCTTACCTCTTTCCTATCGCAGAGAACTACTTGACCTATCCTTCCTGTTTAAATGTTTTCTAGGCCATTATGAAATAGATATCCAGCACTACATAACTTACCCTCACACTTCATTAAGATCTAGCTCTCAGGCCAAGCTTCAACCCAAAAAATGCCTCAATACTACTTATAAAAATTACTTCTTCCAAAGAGTAGTTCCCATTTGGAACGCCTTACCCCTTAATATTAGACTTTTAAAATTATGCCCCACAGCCTCTATAACCACCTTTAAGAAATTAATCCTAGTTTACTATCTCTCACTTACCAACAACAGATTCGATCCCAACAATATATGCACCTGGCTTACTCAATGTCCTTGTCGCAAGTGTTCTCCATTCTAATCATCCCAATCAGATATAATGTTATCATTATTATGATTTATTTATTTATTCATTTGAATTATTTTGCTGGGTACCTTTTCATTTCTAATCAAATGTTGTTACTAATTGATATTATAATTATTATTATCACTATTATCATCGCGTTGTTTTCATTTGCTGTTTTTGCTCATACTGCTGCTGACCTATTATGTATCATTTATTACTTATCGAATGATTTATTATTTATCGTTGGCTCGCCGTTCTATTTACCTCAACGTTCATTATATGATTTGTTAATTCTTTGTCGTCACCCTTGTAAATAGTGTTGTTATGATTTCTGTTATTGTTTATTTTGTTTTATTATTTATGTAATCCTTATCAGTTTATATTGGTGGGGGCATTAAAAAGGAGTATGTTCCTGTTTCCCCCAACCTTTTACATTTTGTTGTAATAAAGCTGAAATGAATAAGACTGTAAAATTCGCACATTCTGACAGATTTTGCGAAATGGTTTCGTCGATTCATTATTTACATACATCCGTTACCAACTTAAGTGCCCCACTGTCATGTAGTGATTTTAAAAGTTCGTGCTGGTGAAAAAAATCGTGTCTACTTCTGTTGACTTCCATTTCCACTTCCGTCTCGTCGAAGTAATGGTAATGTAATTTTTTGTTGTGAACATTCCTTTGATATGGGTAGAAGCCATATAGGGTGATGACGTCACAAAATGTACTGGCAAGGGTGTAGGTATTGAGTCCGGCAGTTGTACCCCCATTGGAAAGGTTGCTGTTGTACTTCTCATTCCAGAACCTAAATGCAAGACAATTTTTGATTAGAGTGATATTTGTACACAGATACTGTAATAGAGGAAAGAAAGTCAAGACCCACATCCGAATGAAGCATTTTGCGATAAATCTTGCCGAATGGGGTCAAAACGGACCCCGATATGTTTCATTGACAGATAGATAGATGGAAAGAGAGACTGAGAGAGAGAGGGAGAGAAAGACAGAGAGATTTCATCATGGGACACTTACGTTTTGATATATTGCTTTGGTGGAGACACCGAATACGTGATTGTGATGTTAAGATCCAACCTCCTTATCATCGCGTTTAAAGCAGGAAGGTTTGTGCGGTTGACGAGTATATAGCTCATTATGGAGTTATTCCGAGAAATTATCCATTGGGGGTCAAAATCGACTCTATCCATTTTGTTTAGCACTATGCGGTTGATAATGGTCATGTTCGTCTTCTCACCGACATCCTGAAACAAACAAAAATATTAATAACCCTAAGAGCATACATCATTACAAGGACTGGCTTTCTGTCCCTTAAATTTATCATGGAGTTAAACCTCCATGAATTTGTATACTATACTTGCTAAAATAAGGAAACTCTATTGCTAAAATTTGTAATGTTCTAACCAGGTTCAAAACGGGCTTTTGAGACCCGCTCCCTGTAAAATCAGCCCAAGGCCCTTCCAGTAACCATTTTCCGTCAGAATTTTGGGTATTTTGCTCCATGATTGTCAATATACATTGGGGTAGTGCGGTTTCAACTCATCAGTATGTAGATAAATGACTATAATATTGGCTTTGAAAAATCGGGTTTCCCAGTCCTAAAAACTGTACTCATTTGTAAATATACTAATAAAAGACTGCATTAACATCTATAGTAATTAGTTAGTATTTATAGTAATCAAAATCACATGTGAAGCATGAAGGCATTGTCACCTGTTCGAATGTCTTTAATGGAGCATCATTTACTCTGATAACAAAATCATTGCGGTCAATGTCGTCCCCACAGCCGCTGTCACGGAGAATGCCGCTGTTGCCGACTACTGCGCATGTCCGGTAATGTCCCACTGGTGTTGTCATGACAACAGACGTTCCATTTTTCTTACAGTGGTCATAGTCGATGATGGCGAAATTTTCTGATGGGTTGAAATAGCGACTTGTCTGATTGCTGAAACAAAACAAAAAATAAAATATTTAACTTGTCTACATATATGACTGATACATTTGACGCTATATGGCACAAACAATGCTATTCTTTCCTATCCCGTCTGTACAACTCCTCAAACAACATTATCCAATCTGTTCTCAAGTCCGATGTAATATTCCGCTACAGATTCTTCCGCAATATCTGGGACCGTCTGTACGTATAGACATGTTTTTACTATTGTTATTATGTGTATTTTTATCTGTATGCTTTATATGGGTGAGTTATGCCTGAAATAAAGAATAAAAATACAGAAAGAATATTGTCAGCACTATTATTTGAACCATTGCCTTCTCCAGAAAGGCTATATTATCGGTAGCATGGATTGGTAGGCCTTGAATTTTTGAACACCTCAATCCTTGGTTGATAACTCTGGTCCGTGAAGGCATGGCTATCTCTTGTTCTTTCTGGGCTGGTGTTAGGTACTTAGTAGTTGGTACGTCCACCAGTTTATTAGTCATTTTGTACATCATGCAAAGTCTGGTCATTTTCGTCTGTCTTCCAGTGACACCCACTGTAGGTTTCTTTTTTAATTCACTTCATTGACACTAGCACCCCTTTCATATTTGTTTATACAGAATCTTGCAGCTTCATTTTTGTACCATGGCATTTCCAGATTGTCTTTGTCTTTCTTTGTATATGGATCCCTCTTAATAAACAAATAATAGTGTTTTGCAAAAATGTTTTGAATATATACTTATCTACACAAGAAATCAGTCACTCAAGGAACTGGATAAATGTTGAGATACACTTACCTAATACGAAATGCTGATGTAACGTTGTACCAGTCGATGAATAAACCCTTAGTGCCAAAGGCTGTAACTTCTCTCTTCATCAGGGGCTCTGTGCTGAAGCTGACACAAAAACAATATTAACGGTCGACTCACGGTGGTAAAATCTGGGCTGCAAAGTTCCCACATTTCATAGAATCCGAACAGTGTTCGATCGTGTTCGATCTGGGCAATTCGAATCGAACCCGCGTTCCATTTCGGGGTCACCTGCGGTCATTTGCAATAAAGCGGCCTGAGTGACTCGCAACAGATAAAAAACAACACTTTTCTGTAGATACAAAAAGTTTCCAGGACAGTACATGTCCGCTATCATTTTTTGTGGACATGTAAACATGTAGCGAAGCTACTGTCATATCCCTGGGTGACCTTGAATACTGTAATGATTCTTTACGCCTTTATGAATAACACGGTGTACAAAGTTGGGAGATATGACATGCCTGCAAAACTCGTTCAAACCTGGAAGCATGGGGAGTCAAACATACCCCATTTACGGCTCAAAATGACTGTCATGGTTGTCCCGAAAATCGTGCTTTAGGGATTTTTGAGTAACGTTAATTAAATGCGAAAAAAAGCAAAAAATTCGATTTTTCACCTATTTGTCGACAAAAACTATACTTTAAGTCAGAAATTAAAAAATCCCTAAAGCACGATTTTTCATCTCATTCCTCGTCGTCGAAAAATGTAAAAATCAGTGATCTTGCGTAATATGTGTAGCCAGGTTTGCTCGGTGATTGGCTAAAATATGGCGCACCGAAATTCCGTGAATTATCGACTTTTTAAACGAAATCCGAAAAAAATCTTCCATTTAGCGCAAAAAATCACCATTGAATGTATGTAAAGACGATAATTTTATTTTATTTCAACGAAATTTTCCCTTCGATACTAGTTTGTTTATTTTCAAATGTTTTACGGTTAGCCCAAAATTGCGTCTTGTAACCCGATACGAACGCCCCCAGCAATGGGAAAGAATGCCGTAGTGACAGACCGCCGTGACTATACTTCACTTAAAAGAACTTTAATTCAAAGCACTAAATGACGAAGAAGACATATATCAATGTATTAAGTTTAGTTCTAAAGCATTATGTATGCACGCATCTTCTTTGTCTACATAATCTCTCTTCGCCCCTGAAATAACCTTTTTAGTAACGAAACTAGAAAGGTAACATTTCCAAAGCAAATTCATAATTTATTTATTTATTTATCTATTTATTTATTCATTCATTCATTTATTATAATTCTCCACATACACGTGTACATGGAAGACATGGAAGAACAGGTGCACCTTTTCAAGGCCACCATGCTGACAAACAAATAGACGATTGGTCTAGCCTAACAAAATACTGTTCTGTTTATTGTTACTCAAACACAAGGAGGTAAACATAAAAATACTTACTTCGTAAGGTTGTAGTATTTCTGCAGCAGGAAGAGAGATAAAATCAAAACTACAGCAAATAAGACTTGAGTGGTGGTTAACGATCTCTTCATAATTAGTATGTTTAAGTAGGCCAAAGGTCATAGTTGTGGCCGAACGGGTTGGAGACAGATTAACTTTCTCCCTGCTGCCTAACCCGGCAAACAGTGCAACTTTGGCGACTAACTGCTACCTTGGTAGGGTGCAGGTTAACATTCTCACACTGACACTCCCTAATTAGTCAACCTGTGACCCAGTTACACACATGTACAGGCACTCACCAGAGGTTATTGACCCGTATAAGGACATCCCCTGTATAATGTCCTTGGGCCGAGGCTTTTCATTTTGACACAAACAACCTTGCCACCTGAAATCTGACAAACACGTAACGAGCTTTTTGTCACAGATATTTTAGATCCTTAAATGATGAAATATAAAAATTCGCATTCCTTATGAAAATGACAAGCAATGTATCATTATCGTACATAAATATTATGTGACTGTCTCAAGAAGCGAGAAGAAGTTGAACCTGTAAATAGTAGCTCACATTAGTATGTATAGTTTAAGTGTTATTGTTGTATTCTTTTCCCTGTCTATTCATGATCTGTACTTACAATTACATGTAGCTTGTTAGAGCACAAACGTACAATAAAGGCCTTTTATTAATTCATTCAGCTTGTTAGGCCAGCGAAACAGGTCGTCTCCGTATTTAACATAAGGCCATATACAACAGGTGCATTTTAACCTCATCACGCCAGCATTATTGCTTCTCTGCGTTGCAAAATTTAGATTTTAAGGAGTCCCTTTCCACCAACTGACTTTACCATGCAACAAAACCGCCACCTAGCGGTAATAGCTGGGATAGCAGGAGGGGTGGGATGGGTGGTTATTGTTAATCTCCAAGCAGATCATACGTTGGCAGGGCAGTATCCATTGGCCAGAGGAGTGTCCATACTTCGTGGCTACTGGACATTCCTCTGGCCAATGGATACTGCCTTGCCACCGTATGATCTGCTTGGAGATTTGGGGTATCGTCCCTATAGCTTATAGTTCCCCACAGTGAGTCCGTTGTGTTGTGCATTGATTGTAATTATTGATAGCGGCTCTGTTTTCGCGGGAGGGCGCGTGACACCACTCATGATCAGAGGATCGCCCCTCTCACGTAAAACTGCACACTCGTGCTTTGGGAATTATTATTTGTTGTGTCAATAAAGAATCTGTAAACAGTACACAATTGCATGTTTTTTTTGTCAACCTCCGCAATACGATTATTTAAAGTGTCCCTTATGCAACCATTTTAGCATTATATGCATACCAAACTTTCCAGCTCAAACGTTAACGCTTAAAAACCTCATCACGCTAGCACTAGTTCTTCTTTGCGTTGCAAATTTCTGATTGTAAGAAGTCCCTTTCCCCCCTCACCCACTCATTCCTCCGACCGTTCATCATCATCATCATCAAAATGGTTTATTGCTAAAATCAAGAACATTGCAGCATAAAGCTGAATTACGTTCAAAGATGCACATCCTGTTTTAAAAACATTAACGACTGCACAATCTTGGAGTCAAAATGTGGTAATAGAGTTACAACTTAAAAATATTTACACGATATTACATACATTTAGCATAGTAAAATTAAAATTTTGGTCACTCACATTAGTACTGTACATTTCAACATTACATTAAACTATTTCATATACAAATTGCACAAGAGAGGCATTTACAGAGTTAAGAGCAGTATCATTTCATTTCGTTCAACAGTCTTGTTCAACAGTCATCTGCGGCGTAGCGGCAGAGTGCGCGACTCGGAACTTTGAGTCCCGGGTTCTCGTCCTGACATGCCACCGATCTTGTGCCCTTGGGAAAGGAACTTTACACGGCTTTCCTCACTTAGCTCAGGTGTAAATGAGTATTGTCCTGTCATGTATTTGTCCCCTGTGTTGGTGGCGGCATTAATATAAGTTGAAAAAACTTGAGTGTGTCGTCACCACGTCTGGTGATTACATGTTTGAATTTAAAAAAAAAAAACAGTCATTTCGTTCAACAGTTCTGGTCACTCAGGGGTTACAGTTGGCAAATCCGTGAGGTATCGATTAAAACCCGGCTCTTCTCTTTCCGGATATCTTTCTGCACGTCCATTTGTTTGCCGAAGTTATCACTATTTTCATCACAATCTTCCCGCCATGCCAACCTGGGTCTTGTAGCTAAGACAGATTAAAATATAGACGTGTAAAATTTGCGGGACACTGCCATCGTGCAAAAGAAGAAGTCATTTCATCACTCCTCCTGTGGAAACCACATGGCAAGACTCACTCCAGACAACTCACATATCCAGCTACTCTCACAAGGGACACAGGATTACAACAACAAGACCTTCCAGCTGCAATGGAAGATCGTACTTTGTGTCGTCGTGTTGTGCAGGAGCTTGCAACGTCCCCCAGCCAGGGTGTCGACAGATGATGATGATGATGATAAGACACCTTTGCCACAAGGCACATTCGCTACAATACATGATCGTTAGCCTCTACCAGGCTTCGGGAGGCGGCTGAAAAGAGTACAAATCGGCCAAATAGAGACATAACACATGCCAGGGGAGTTTGTCTGCGGGGAGAAAACATTTTGCCGCATGTTATCTCTCTATTTGGTCGATTTCTACTCTTCCAGCCACCTCCTGAAGCCTGGTAGAGGCTACATGATCGCTACAAAGTTTGCCACATGTTCGCCACTCCCCCCATATTCCCTCCCCCTCACATTGCTACACTAACGACTGTTCGGAATTGATCTATTACCCCGATCCGCAGTCAGGGCTACTGAAGGGGGATTTTCAGCCGGCTAGACGTCAAGGAAAATGCTAACCCGACTTAGAAAGCAAAATCAATACATTCTCGCCGTACTTTTATCCGCTTAACGCCCACGAAACCTCACCCTTTATGTTCACCACCACAAAAACAAGCCAACATTTCTAACGACATTTCGCTACATTAACGAATAACCTAACTGCTACACGTTCAAATTTGCTACAAGAAAATTTGACAATTCATACAGGCAAGGTTTTAGAATGAATCATAATCTTACAAGGTCTAAATTCCTGATTTTTAGCTTAGATTTTATATATAAAAACACCATCAGCCCAGCTTTGATCCGACATAAGGGATTGCGTAGTTAGTACATATTATAGATTTTTGAAGCGACTCCCGGAAGTTGTGATACTGGGCGTCCCCTTATCCGGGTAGAGCTGTACACATATCCTGATGAACACACACGTAGTAAGGCCGGGCTGCCACGCTGCCGAACAACAGAACATAACACAGCTCAGCCGACAGCTACACAACTGGTCTACGACAGCTACCCAACTCCTTACACCATTTCTACACAGCCACTATGGTAAGCTATTCCATTTTCTATACCCGAACCTATACCTATAATGTAGTAGGTTTTTTTTTTGCCTGAGCATTCATTATATACGCATACAACATAACACAGCTCAGCCAACAGCTACAAAACAGGTCTTCTCTCACACAATTTCTCAACGGCCACTATGGTAAGATAATTTTCTTATCCCATACCCGAACCTACACCTATTATCTAGTAGGTTGTTGTAGTTGTAGGTTGCTTTTTGCATGAGCATTTATTCTGTACGCAAATATATCATAGCGTGGTTAATTTTGAATGCTTAATTGTAAGAACATCTTTTTGTGTGGGCAAAGTACCATGTACGCTTTCGTCGACGGTCGAAGGTAGTCGAGCGATTTTGATGCCGTAGACAGGCTGTGACAGAACCAACAGCCAACAAGGATTATAAGGCGGCTTTTCCGCCGTATATTCCGCCTTATAACAAGACATGCACGGCTGTCCCAAGAATTCCTTCGGTTTGCAATCGTGCAGCTATCACACAACCTTTGTGACTAGGCCCAAATATAAGTATCAACTGACATGAATGATAATAATTATAGATGTTATTTTGCCATGAAGAATACTGTAGCCACAAAATTTAATAATCATGCCCCAGCAGCCCCACCCTTATAGAAAACATCATAAATACCAACAAGTTTTAAATTATAAAGCAGAGGAACGCCTTGGAACAAATTGGAATATTAGTAAAAGATATAACTGTTGTATTAATTTTACACATTACAAAAAGCCATCTATTGCTATATATTTGCTATATGTACATATCTACTGTTTCTTTACTTGTCAGATCGCGCTAGACCAGCACAGTTGTGACCGCTGCATCTTGGCTAAAGACGGGGAGTGTCCGGAACAAAACAGCGTCCACGTGATTAACTGCTGGCTTCCAAAAGGTAATATTTACTACTGTTGAAACCTTTTTTTTAGATCTACATGTAACGCTCCCCATTTCTTAATGTTATCTTAGCCTTTATATGAAGACTGTGCCAAGATAGAAATACGGCTATCAATATACATCTCAAAAGGAACACTTGAAAAATGTTTTCCACACGATATTTCCGTAGACAATAGTTCACAGTCCTATTAGCCCCTACCAGGCTTCGGGAAACGGCTGGAAAGAGTAGAAACTGGCCAAATAGAGAGATGATCGATATGCCAGGGGAGTTGGTCCGTGCTGAGAGTAGAGTACCGTTTGCAGCTTCTTAGCGCGGACTAACCCCCCTGTCATAGCATCTGTCTATTTGGCCAATTTCTACTCTTTCCAGCCGCTTCCCGAAGCCTGGTAGAGGCTACAGCCACGTAGCATTTGCCATAAGATGGACAAGGACAGACAGTACCGTATAAGTCCACCTAAGCTTGGAAGTTTCATACAGATGTACCAAGCTCCGCTATATATCACGCCAGGATATAATATTGTTGGCGGTTCTCCTAAGATTGATTTTGTGCCTAAATACATGTACATGCGGCCGGTCGAACAACAACATTGAAGCTGCACCGATCAATGTGAACCACATGTCCATGCGCGCCGCTTCACCCGGGTTAGAACATTGTTTGATCAACAATACTGACATAAGAAATCAATTATCAGAAAAACAATGTAAAGAACGTTAGTATACATATCTGCATCCTTGTCCGAAACTTTCCTAACGTCTATAAAGGTGATTTGAACTTTTATTTTTCTCCAGACCCGTTCGCGTGGAGCCCGTGCCACGTGAAGTGGTGGGTGTACGTGATGTCGCGCCTGTACTCCCTGTCCGTGGCGCTGCCCATGTTTGAGATGAACGGACGCGGACTGTGTCTCCTCTCCCTGCCGGGATTCATGTACCGGGAACAGACGGGCAAGGGCTACCTGCTCTACTACGATCTCAGGTAAGACACTGAGCTTGTACGTCTCTAGGTTACCGAGCATGTCTCTATTGCTCGCCTACCTCATCTAAAATATTTCATGTACCGCGAACAGACAGGCAAGGGCTACCTGCTCTACTACGATCTCAGGTAAGTCACAGTTCTTACTCAGGACCCTGCTGGGCTGTTTGCGGAAACGAAAAGTTCGATATAAAAGATAAGAGAACACATTCAAACAGTTTTAGAAACTAATCAGAAGTACTATTTGTGTTATATTCTTGATATGAATTGTTAATTTTTCGTTCCGTAAACAGCGCGACCAGGTAAGACGCTAAGATTGTACGTCTCTAGATTACCGACAATGTCTCTATTGTTTACCAAGCTCATCTGAAATATTCTGCCTATCATCTTGAATGTTCTTGCTCATCTAAAATATTCTACTTCTCATTCGAAATATTTCAGCTCAACTGAAATGTTCTAAGTCTAATATTAGTAACCCTAACTTTGCCAACTTGTGTATAAATGTATAATTGCATGATCCAATATATTCCACAATTACGGTATTCTTTCATTTTGCTTCCTTTCCTTTCGCTCACAGGTATCGTCTATGGAAGAAATTTCACAAGGAAGAAGAGCACTGAGTTTTCCTGACAAGAACATAGCAAGTATAGTCACAGCACATCTATCCAAATGACAGAACTCCTAGGGGATCATTTCAATCAGACCTATCACTTCTTCTTGAGACTATAAGATGTGGAGTTGGTTGTTTTCAAAGCCTGTGATAGACCATGGATAGACCAACAATAGCATGACGTAAAGTTGCTCCACCTAGCGATTCTTTCAGTACTGCATACTACATAGTACCAAACGATCAATTTCAAATGTCAGTATAAAGTAAGTGAGGTGTAAGGGTGCGAAACGAAACGATTCAATGCAAAATGCTGATTATCTTCCTAAGTGCAATGATGAACTGCTGCTAAAGTAAAAAAAATGTTATCATCATAAACGACAAACTCCAACTGCAGCACAACTTCCGTATTTAAAAACGTTACAGTAGGTTGGTTCATGATAAACAGATTTATTTTCTGCCCTTATTAATTTATTGAGAGAAATTATATATGTGTTGGTGAAACGCTGCTAATAAAGCCATACTATACCTCCAAGACTCGGTTTGATAGTTTGTCATGTTTACCTTTGCAGAAGAAAATTTCAACGTATTGTTTTTGCTCTGTTTCTTCTTCATCTCCAAACACACAAGGTCAACCCCTGAGCCTGACAGCTGTCACCATGGTAACTGGCGCTGGGGCAGACACCTGTGGTGTTGAGTTACATAATGTTGCAATTTTCAGGACAGAGTTGGGGGGGGGCTAGTCATTATAGATATGTTTGAATGTGTTTGAGTTAAAATTAATAGGATACGAAGCAGTATACTAGTTTCTTATGATAGACCATGTGAAGGTAAACATTTTGCATTTGCTTTGCTAATGTTAATCTCCAAGTAGATTCGGTAGGGCAAGGGGACTTTATACTGGCCAGTCCTGTATCCATTGGCCGCCTGTATCCAACGTTCGCCCCACGAATCTGCCACAGAACGGAAGACTTGAAGCCTATTTTCAAGTAGCTGCGAAGTGTTTTACGGCGGGTTACGTTTTCCACCCGCGCGCCGCGGGAGTTTCCGTTCTGGCAGTCGGTGCGCAGTGATCCACGATCTTCCTTCCTATTATATAACGGTCACATTTTGAAAGCCGTACCTTTAAACCTTACTCACAGAACCTTAACCTTACCGGTGTTTTGAGTTGTCCATACGCTCGCCGCTCATCATGAACGACATTTTGCGGGCGCATCGTGTTGCACGTGACATTTGGGGTTTCCCCGGACTGAAAGATGGCCAAGTTGCGGCCATCAGAGCCGCCGTGGAGAGGAAAGATAGCTTCGTCGGGCTCGCGACAGGACACGGAAAATCCATTTGCTACCAAATTCTGCCATCCATTGCCAAAGAGCCCACAATCGTCATTGTAATCTCGCCACTCTATGCACTTGTTGCAGATCTGGTATTGGTAAAACAAGTTTGTTTTCTGGACTGTTTCCCCCCTTTTTTGCACGTCGATTTGACCGATCTCACTGCCCCCCTCCCCAACTATAATCATAATGGATCACGACACTGTATTTTGATCTGGAGGATCCGACAAAATTTTACCGATCGTAAACAGAGTAAATGTCAACATAAAGTTTCACAAACACCGTTGTTGATCGCATTATACACCTCGCTAGTCATTAGGAAGGCGGAAGCGGCAGGGAGCCAACACGGCCCGCTGACTATACTGTTCCCTACACCGGACGCGCGTTAACTCCGGGCAGTAAAAAGATTTACCAAACGATGTTTTAATGGTTACCAGGGAGGGGCAGCGACACCAATTTTGAAAGGGTAGCCCCGCCCTGGTGCGTTCTGTGGCAGATTCGTGGGGCGAACGTTGGATACAGGCGGCCAATGGATACAGGACTGGCCAGTATAAAGTCCCCTTGCCCCACCTAATCTGCTTGGAGATTAGCTAATGTTACCTTTCTTTGCTTGTTTCGTGTTGTTTCCTGTCGAAAATGCACAACTTTGAGAGTTAGGCGGAAAGGAGGGGGGGGGGGGGGAACAAGGGTTCACCACAAGGTCAACACAGTCATCAACTCTTTCCCAAAGCCTTTGATCGTTTGGCTCGCTCTATATCCTCCTCCAATCGATCCATATCCGCATCTCTTTCCGCCCAAACATCCCACTCTAGGAGCGGGAAACGTCGATTGATCGAACCAAGCTCGCCACTACAGGCGATTATCCAAGCATGCCAAAAACTGGGGGTTTGTGGGGGTCTTCAGGGTCTCTGGGATCTTTTATGTGCTATTTTCTGATTGTACATAGACAACATAGCCGGCCTGGTTGAATTGCCCCCGTTTTTTGAACTGGGCTAATCAGAAAACAGTCGAAGACCACCAAACCCCCAGTTCTATAAGCCTGTTTCGGAGGCTAGCCACTACAGACGATTACTTTAGTATTCAAGCGGCGAGAATACAGGAACTCCCTTACTGAGTGCGCCGCTCCGATCCCACTTGTTGTAACCCATACGTGTATACACTAGTGATCAGGTCTTCACCACGGATTAACAAGACTTCGCGTACATGCAGTCCCCAGGGCATGTTATTGTCGACCTTTCTACATATTATGTACACCCGATCCGGCCATCGTTGGTGAAAAACAAAGAGCGAGGTTCTTGGAGTGTGGAAAACGAAGACACGTCGTTCGGCCCTTCAAACCCGGAGAGTGGGCCATTGAAAATCGATACCTCGCGGATATAACCGTTCGATGGCCCTTCTAGTGAAGAGCTTTAAGAGGTTTGAGTTTTGGCTCAAAGGAGAATGCGATTGGATTGCGATTTTGAATGACCTGTATGACGCAATCACTGGACGTCATTTCTGTTGTAGCATGCGTCAGGACTTAGGCGGTTAGCTTTTATAGTCAAATAGAACGGTACATAAAAAGTTCCTATCTCAGAACTTTTGAAGTTTTGTCTGTACCTAATGGTAAATGTGAAGTCCTCAGGGGGTCATGTACCTTTTCCTCTTTTACGTTGTTTCGTGAAAGAACACACTGCTATAAACTTATGAATGACACCTAAAAATGCAGTTTTCACTTGGAACGGCAGATGGAGTTGTTGAATGGACGCCTTCATTGTGCACAAAAATTCGAACAAGGTTCACTAAGCTAGCCTCCTTCGCAGTCTTGTTGGGCGTCGGCGTTATTTTTTCTCTGAGCGACGCGAGTAATATGCGGCCGCGAGGGACGATTTGCTGCCGAGGGAGTTTTTGCCACGGAGAGAAGGTTTCGCGCTCCAACCTTCTTGGCTACACTAAGCAAGGTTTTTGCTAGGCAAGTTACTGTTGGGAAGACGAAGATTAAGTTCGAGAATGGGCTTTATGGCGGGTTCGTACGTCACTGCCCTGGACCTTTTGTGTTTGTTGGCTTTTTTGTTCGTGAACAGGATAACTGGAGATGCTGTGATCAAATTTAGTAGGTTGGTAGGGTTAAGGAAAAGGAAGGTCAAGTTCGACAGTGGGCCTTGTGGGGTCGTGAAACCCACGAGAGCTTTCACGAAAACAAAACTAGCTCAGAAACGGTACACGTTTCCCTCTGACGGGCTTAAATCATGACGACCTGCTCAGACCTACGTTGGTGCACTTAGTTTTCAAACCGACAGGAGTCGCTGTGAGTTATACTGCAGCTCAAGTCCGTCGCTAGGAGCGCTGCTGCCCCGGTATATCTCCAGGGGTCGGGGTGTGGAAGGAGGAGAGAGGCCGCGATGCTGTCTGGGCGGCACTTCCCGTCTCGGAACCGTTAGGACCGGATCAATACAGTAACAGTTGACTCTGCAACTGGCGGACTGACTGGGCGCTTTTCTTGCTGGAAAGAAAGAGAGAGAGGGAACAACCTAGAAGCCAACATGCTTTGGAGGAGGATATTGACAATTGCTATACTGCTGCAGGCCTCCTCCGCGAACTTCAGAGGTGGGTGTAATCGCCGTTTTTCCGCGAAACCTACTGGTATATTGTCGCTGGCCTTGCGGACCATTAAAAAGCATTTAGTTATGTCCATTCGTTTGTAAATCACATTGCGACCACAAAGATATTCCTGGCCCATTCGCTTCTTCGGTATTTTATGGGCTTTAAGATGAAGTTAAGCAGTGGTACTAGGACGTGGGCGCGGCGAAGATAAGTCTGATAGTGGAAAAGTGCCGTCAGCAGCGTAGCGTCTTCGCGGGCGGTGTAAGACAAGACCAAGCGAGTGTACCCGAGTGATTACCGCAATCAGCCTGCCGCATGCATTTACACCAATCTCTTCAAACGAACTTCGCCTCTACTCCGCCCCAGGAAACGTACAAAAAAGAAAGAAGAGCGGACAACAAACACGTTTCGCGATGTGCTTGCTTTCCCGACATCATCTTTATTACCCTTAAGTCCCCAGAGCGAAATAAGCTACTTATCCCACCCATACAATCTCCATAACTAATAGGAAGAAACCCCTGTGGTCGTAAGATAAACGACATTCGTCCCTGGTGGAATTTCTCTCGGTAATTACGTTATCATATTTTTCTATAGGATGTAGAGGGTCTAAATGGACTGGGAGCTGACGAAATCTCTGTCCGTTTTACCTTGTCAGGAAAACGAAAAATGCCCCGAAGGAAATGAAAACTGGTGTGTGGTTCTGTAACCGGCTTGCAGTTGTCTGATACCTAGTTTTTAACTTGAATCCAGAAAGTTAGAGGAATTGTTAGTATGTAAGAAAAAAATGAGCGCAGTCGTTTGATAAATCTGTTGTGCTTTGGAATTCTATGTTCGTTTTACCTCGTCAGAAAGCGGAAAAGGCCCATGAAGGGGACGAAAGCTATGGTGTAGTTTTGTAACTGGCTTGCAGTTGTCTAATAGCCTAGTATTTAACTTGAATCCAGAATGTTAGAGGAATTGTTTGTATGTAGGAAAAAATGAGCGCTGTCGTTTGATAAATTTGTTATGCTTTGGAAATTTATGTTCGTTTCACCTTGTCAAAAATTAAAAATGACCCGATTTGTTAGTATGTTAGGATTAAAATGGGCGCACTTGTTTGATAAATCTTTTGTCCCTTTCACTTTTTTCCGTAAAGTGTTACAGTAGGGGTTGAAATAAGCAGTTTAGTTGCCGAGGTAAATTTGTTGCCGTCCAAATGCCATTATGGCATTTACACGTCCTAGTGTTTCACCCACCAGAATGTCATCCTGAAACTACTGCACCGCAGAATGTAGCAGGTCGAGGTCCAGGCAGCTATACTGTATTTATTGTGATGGCCTTTAGCAAAAACACAGCAACAGTAAAACAGCATAGGCCACTAACGAAGTGAAGAAACACACCCTAATGTTGAAAAGAATCTTGAAGAAACTAGGAGTGGGGAGACGAGCAGCCTTCTAGTGGCAAACCCCATTTTATGACGCCTCCCTAGCAGGCGTAGGATTGCTTTTTAATAAGTTTTTTTTATAAGCGCTTTTGGCAATTCATATTTCTATGCTGGGCCGCCATATGAACCCAAGTGCAAATAGAATTGATACAGCCTGGGTGCCACCCTAGGCTCCTATCATGATTCGATCCCTAAA